AGTGCCCCACAACTCTTCCCAATCAATGGAGAACAAGAATCTATCCAGTTTTGAGCACACTTGATTTTCTTGGAGATTTTACTAGGTGAAAGAGGCTTGTAACAAGGTAGGCTCTTTTAGTTCTAGGGACTCAATCAGGGAATTGAAGTGTTTCATGCTAGATGTTAAGGGTTGGTTGGGATTGTTTGTCTCATTTGTATATCTTATTACATTGAAATCCCCACCCAAACACCACGGACCCTCCCATGTGCCTTTGATTGCAGCTAGCGCTTCCCAGAATGAGTTCCTCTCTCTATATGAATTCGGCCCATACACATTAGTCAATACCCACTCCCTTCCATCATTCATCCTCTTAGCTTTTATTGATACTGAGTACTGACCTATTAGTTCCTCCTGACAGTCAACTTCCTCATTCTTCCACATTGTAAGGATTCCACTCGAGGCACCCCTCGACAGGGCAAAAGACCAACTTAGACCCCTGCAACTCCAGATACTTCTTATCCACCTTTTGTCCAAGTCCGAAAGCTTTGTCTCTTGTAACATGACTATAACCGGTCTCTCCTTTCTTATCACCTTCCTGATGATTTTCCTTTTCTTTGCACTTCCTAAACCTCTTACATTTCAGCAAAGCACTTTCATTTCACTCTTTTTTCCTCGACCCTAATTCAATCCCAAATCCTATTCTCCTCTTGTCTTCTCCCTTTTCCTATTTACAATCTTCTCATAGGACACACCATAGGCTAGCCTTTCCACCTCCTTCATTCTTCTCATTCTTTTTTTTATCATCTTCTACCCCCTTTCTAAGATAGACCTTTCCTTTGGCGAACTTCCTTTTGGCTTCTTTTTGTTCCTCTCCTTTTACTTTGGGTATCTCTCTACAGCCTTCTTCTCCCTCATCCAAACGACAGTCTTCCTTTTCTTTCTCTTGGGTACTTGCAATAACTTCATTTCCCCCCTCATCCTTTTCCAAAACCATCACATTAAACAATTTCTCATCATTGTCTTTTCCTCTACCCCCTCCTTTTTCTATTGCACATGGGTCATTATCTGCCACCGGTGACGTTTCAACAGCTGGAACTGCAAATACACAAATACACAATATAGCATTTCCCATTTTCCATTTTCTTTATGCCTTCTTAACTACACAAATACACAATATAACATGCATCAAGGGTCTAATGCATGAGACAATGTTCAATATTCACACAATTGGCTGCATACATGGCAAAGATCTGTGCTTACATGTCGTGAATTAGCCATTTGTTTTCTTTAATAAAACATAAAAGGCCACATGTTGGGTGGTTGTGTCTTGTTTGACAGTTTCCTAATTGAAAACATGCATCTTTCTCATATATATGGACTCTGGAGTGTTTGTTATGCAAAAGAAAGATAAATAATGGGTAATCACTAATTTCAGGTTTTCTTGAGAGGGAAGTTTTATGAGCTTAGAAGACTATAAATGGTCTATATGGTGCAACTGTGGAAGTACCCTTTATTCTCTAGGGTACTTCTTTTGGTGGCTTTAAGATCTACATACTTATTTGGACCTGGGAATTTTTTTCTGGGAAGAAGAGTCACTTATATTGCTTCCTTTGATTTGTGATTGCCATAGTCGTGCTTATTCTATTGAAGTCTTTTCTGATCTTTTTTATGAATGGGTGTACGCATATCGCCAATAGCCAAACCACATTATGTTTGTGTTTGTTGGTTCTACAATATTTTTCTTTATTTTTGGTTGCCATCAATTCCAAATTCCAAAGTCATGCCTCTTGCACTATAGTTATCTCTTAGATCTTTATATCCTTTCCTTACAATATGCTTCTACATTTGATGTATTTGGATTCTCACATGCTTATTCTTGCAATAAACATATTAAGAATTGAAATCTTTAATTATTCTTTTGGTGATTTCATTAGAATTGATTCTCAAGGTTTCATTGTACAGCCTGCACCTCTTGCAACCAATGTAAAAGCAGTATTTACTTGCTTACTAGATCAAGTAAGTATGCTTAATTTTACTTCTACAACTGGCTTTCAATTGAACTCAAGTCTACCCATCTATGCCATACTCAATTTATGTTTTGCAGGTTAGCCAATATATCACAGATGGGCTAGAACGGGCCAGAGAGAGCCTAAATGAAGCTGCGGCTTTGAGGGAAAGGTTTGTGCTGGGTACAATTGTTAGTAGAAGGGTGGCTGCTGCAGCTGCTTCTGCTGTAATTACTTAACCATATCCCTTTAATAAATCCTAATTTCTTTATACATAAAGATTGCATTCAGCAATGGTCAACACAGTTCTTTACACTTCTATTATTGAGTCAAGCATAAGACAAATTGATTGATGATGATGTTTAGGCAGAAGCTGCTGCTGCTGCTGGTGAAAGCAGTTTCAGATCTTTTATGGTGGCTGTACAGCGTTGTACAAGCAGTGTGGCTATAATCCAGCAAGTATGTTTCCTTTGGGCATTACTTGTATTGTTATTTTGGCCAGAGTGGCTGGTATTTACATTGAAACCTTAGTAGTGAACAAGGGTCTTGTCTTCTGCAGTATTTTGCAAACTCTATTTCTCGGCTCTTACTACCTGTGGATGGTGCACATGCTGCTTCTTGTGAAGAAATGGCAACAGCTATGTCTAGTGCTGAGGGTGCTGCTTATAAAGGGCTTCAACAATGTATTGAAACTGTGATGGCAGAGGTCTGTAAAAATGCAAAGTTTTCATCTTATGATTATATTTAATATCACAGAAATCAGAGCATGTACACTTTGTCAAATAGCCCTTCTATCTGCATCATAAAAGATCATGTAGTGGGAAATTACAAATCAATTTTCCTTTAAAAAACTATGAAGCAATTTTGTCACTGCCACCTATTATTCTGAGCTCATAATCTGTAAAGGATCCCTGTATTGTTTTTATCTTTTATTAAATATTTACCATTGCCATTTATTTTGAGGTGGATGAATAGCAAGATGAGATCTAGTTCTGGGAAGACCTTTGGATAGGGGAAACACCACCTAAAGACCAGTTTCCTGAACTCTTTGCCCTATCTAACCTAAAGACCTTTGTCTAGTTTGGGAACACCCTCTCCTTCAGACTTCAATTGGAACCTTGTTTTCAGAAGAGGCCTAAGGGAAAGCGAGTGTTCATCTTTAATTGACCTACTTACCATTTTGGAGACAGCATTCCTAGACCCAAACTTGGAAGACTATAGAATTTGGGTTTCCTCTCCAGATGGACTTATCACTTGTTCTTCTTTCAAGCATCTAGCCTCACCTGGTTCTCAAGGGGTTGATTTCCTGGTGAAAGAAATTTGGACTAGCTGATTAGCCAATCCCACCAAAAATTCAAACCTTCTTGCGTTTCTCCTCATGTGTGTTCCTTATGTAGGGGTAATGGAGAGGTCCTCTCCCATTTACTAATATCTTGTTCCTTTGTACAACGTATTTGGGCTTTTTTTTTGTTGTCTTTTTGGCTGCAGGTGGGTCCCCTCTCAAGAGGTGGTGGACATCTTCAACCCAAACTTCTTGAGGCAACAAAAGAAAAGAGGGAGAATAATGTGGAGAGCTAATGAGGTGGCATTGGGTGGTGTGGGAAGAGAGGAATAACGGAATATTCATTGGAAATAATAGGACTTGTGAGGAGGTAATAGACAGTATAAAAGTGAAGGTTGCATTATGGGTTAAGACATTGACTGCTTTCAGAATTACTCAATTACTGACATTCTAATAGCATGGAAGGAGGTAGCACAGTCTACTAGAGAAAAAGAAAAAAAAAATAAGAGTGGAATGGAAACCCCTAGAAGGTAATGAAGTGAAACTGAACTTTGATGGAAGATCCTTGGGTAACCTGGGCATGGCAAGAATAGGTGGAGCAATCAGAGATTAAGAGCAGGATTTTGGCATTATATTCAGGGCCAATTGGGGTTGCAAACTCTTTGAAGGCTGAAATGTTGGCATTGCTGCAGGGTCTTTGGCTGGCAAAGCAGCTGGGCTATAGACAGGTGGAGGTGGAAGGGGATTCCAAAGTTATTATATCATGGATGAAGTGTAACAGACATACCTTGGACTCTTAAGCATGCCTTTAAAGAAATTGAAAGGATTGCATTGGATTTAAATGCGGAATTTAAATGGATAAGGAGTGCAACTGGGTTAGCTGACTCTCTAGCTAAGCAAGGGGCTGCAAGGCAGCAACTGTACTGGGCTTCTTTGTAATCAAGCTACTGTTAATTGGGATGACATTTTTGTCATAAAAGTGCACTGATTTCATATATCTAAACCAATAAAACATTTTTTGCTGATAAAAAAAAGCAAGATGAGAAAGGGTAGAATTAGAAATGAGTGCATTCATTGGAATCTAGGAGTAGCTGTAATAGGATGGCAAAATGAGTGAAGGTAGAATAAGATGGTCGTGCATATGAGAGAAGTTCATCAATCTTTTATGCTTAACATGTCATTTATGACTAGTAATGTTAAGTGATGACAGGCTTGGAATAGGAGAAAATAGAGAAAAGAAGACAAAAGAATGATGAGCTAAAAGTGTAGAGCAGCAGTGCCTACTCCTTATTTTATTAGACTGAACATAGTGCAAGGTAAAAAGACCATAGTATCCTTGCATCGCTAAAAGTACAAATTACAACATCAAAAACTAGATCTCATGGGGCATTACCACATAAAGTTCAGGCATTTCCTGCATAATTTTACTCCCAAGTATAATTTCCTTGAACATGTTTTGGACTAAAGCAGGATGACTCAGTGATTTCAGGTGCGCCTAGGCACATAGGTGAGGCACATTTTAGGGTATGCGCCTCGCCTAGGTTCCAGCAGAGTATTTTCAAAAGGCACATGCCTGGTGTGCCTTGTGCTTCAGCCTAGGTGTGTGTGTTTTGAAAATCTGTGCATTATTTTTTGTGTTTAGCAGTTGGGCTGGGGGCGGACGGAGTGGAGAGAATCCCATATTTTCTAATGTTGCTCATTTGTTCATCCTAATAAAAGATATTTTTAAAAGACACTTAAAGTTATGAAACCTTTCTTTTTTATAGGGATTAAGAATTTTAGACCTTAATATGGACTTACTTGGGCTTGCCTTGAGGGGCTTGATTCAAGGGTGGTTTGTAGAATCAAGAATGCATAATACTTAATATCACATTAGCTATTTGAAGTAATGCAATTGGGAAAAAAAATAAAGAGATTGAGTTTACATGCTTGAATATGTTTTATATGTTATGATTGATTTTATTTTAAATATGTTTTATAATGTGTTTAATTTTTTAATCATTTGCATTTTGGCATATTTTTGAATTTTTAGTTTATTTTTATTTTTATTTTTATTTTTGCATTTTTGCGCCTTGCTTCAAAAGGCACGTGCCTCGCCTTGCACCTCGGGTGCAAAATGGCCCTTGTGCTTTTTTTGTGCCCTTTGCTTTTAAAACACTGGGATGACTTAGACTTGCTAAGGTACCTTAACTTTGGCCATATTACCATAGAATCTATATGTAAATGGTAGTGGACTTGCAGCATATCCTAATACCAGTACCAGTAGGGGAGGCAATGGGAATCAGTCGCAGAGATGTACTAACTAGTACCAGCATCATCATTTTTGTTTTCTGAGTTTTTTCCCTAACTATTTAATCTCCTAAGACAACAGCAATAACCCATTACTAGTTCTGCTACAACTAAAGTAACCATAAACAACTCCAAGATGGACCTAAAAACTAGACGTTCAAATCCTGTCAAAGACTAACATCCTATCAGTCAATTAGCCATAACACACTCAAAACAGATAAGGCTTATAAAATATTGGTCCAATTGAATTTATAATTCAATAACCTATCTAGTGACACCAAAATCATGCAAAACAAACAAGTTTTGGTCCTTGGAAATTAGGCTGGAAGAAAAGTGACGTGATTCTAACTTTAACGTTTCAAAATTCTAAAAACTCCCTAATGAACTAGAAAATAAATTTAACGAGGAACCTCAATTTTTGATCAACTGAAAGTCATGAAATTGCCATTAGTGCAGGAGTTGGAAGAGAACTAAAGTTTTTCTCCGTGGATTCCTTGTTTCCTTGTTTTTTTGATTGGAAACGGTAACTTCATTAATACAAACTTAAGTATAACTTCCTAGAGTTAAGTACAACTGTCAACCCCTAAACAGGTGTTGAGGCCCCAGTTATCTTTCTTACAAAGCTGCCCAGAACATTCTCTCCCTCATTCTTTGTTTCCTTGTCTGCATCACACTTCCATAAGTCATGGTTTCCAGTACCATAGTATACTTTGTTCCTTTAAGTTTATTGTTGCTTATGGGTAGGACTGTGGCATTGCAAAATGGTTTGTAATAGTGTTATTTCTTTTGTATTTTTGTGGGAACCATTTGGTTAGATCTCTTCCTGATATAAAAACTTTTCTTGTGAAATGTTTATGCAGGTTGAACGGTTGCTGTCTGCTGAACAAAAAGCAACAGATTATAGGTCCCCAGATGATGGAAATGCACCAGATCATCGGCCAACAAATGCCTGTATAAGGTAGATGAAATATCCGGTTAAGACTGTTAGTTGATTGGATTTTGTTTTAGTCCAATCCAATTAAGTCAGATTTAGACATCCATTAAGATTCATCAGATTTGACTGAATTTTAGAAGCGTAGATTGAATTGGATAATCCAATAACAATCCGATAATTCAAATGCAACAATATATTACCCACATGTGCAATATTTGAGAAAGCACAAGAGAATGTTTTGGTAGCTGAGTGATGGCTTTTCTTTGTTGTTAAAATAAAATAATAAAAAATAATAAGATAAATTTAATTTTAACATGAAAGATGCTAAGAAGTTATTTTCCATCTAAATTCTCTACATTAATGTGACAATACTAAAGCCATGTTTGGGAGTGCTTATGGTAAAAATAAGTGCTTATTTGAATAAGCACTTATTTGCTTTTGACACCCAGCTTTTTCAAGTGCTTATTTTAAAAAATAAGCACTTATTTCATATTGGCGTTTGGTGGTCTTTTTCTCCAATAAGCACTTGTGTCTCTTTTGTCCTTCATTTTCTTTCAAATTTTCAAAATATACTAACATACTCTGTAGTCCCAGCAGAGCACAGTTTCTCTTTACAGTACAAATTAATCAGAGTATTATCAAGCCCAATGCCAATCCTCACCATTTCTTCTATGTAATCATTAGCCAAAGCACTGATTACTGTACAATATGCAAAAGAATCAAAGAATAACCTTCACTCTTCATCTCTGAGAAAATCTCAAACCCCTGTTCGAATTTCCCATGTCTATAGCAACGGCTCATAACAATAGTGTAAGTTGTAGCATTTGGGATATGACCTGATTCACCAATGTCCTTCAGGATCATTCTCGTTTCCCCTAACTTACCCGATTTGCGAAGTCCATTAATAAGTATATTGGATGTTACTAACTGGGGAAGAAATCCATGCTGTTGTAAGTTCCTAAATAACCGAAGGATATTAACAGTATAACCTGCTTTACATAGGCCATCAATCATGGTGTTATATGTAGTTGGAGATGGAGAAACATGGGATCATATCGCAGAAGATTCTGTTAGCTTCCACCGGCTGTCCAGATTTAAAGAAACAGTTCATCAAAACATTGTAACTCCATACATCAGGAATGATGTCATTTTGAAGCATTTCTTCGAACAGATCGAGACATAGTGGTAGTAAGCGATACCTCGTGGCACCAGCAATCAGCATTGTAAGCACCAGCAATCTTGACGAGAGGCTCCAGATTGGAAGTCGTTGATCAGAATCTCCCAGTCCTGTGTTGAGAGCTGCTTTAATGGCTTCAATGCGCTAATTTTACTGGCAATAAGAGAACTGAACCAGAGAAAGAAAATCTTGAAAGAAAACAAAGTAGGCATGTAGGGAAGCTGTGGAGGTAGTGCCGGAACAAAGAACCAAAAACCGAAAAACTGAGATCTGGGCGTTGGAAAGTTTCCACCACTGAACGAGCGAGAGCAGAATGTGACAGATCCAGATCAATACTCGATGGAGAGAGATCTGGGCATCGGAAAGTTTCCACTGCCACCGGACGCAGGGATGCCGGTTGAGTGTATAGGTTCCCGCCACTGGGCGCAGTTGAGAAGCGTTCCACCACTGGTTGCAGAGAGCAATGGAGAAGAAATACTCGATGGAGAAGAAACCCTGTGTTTTTACATTTGAAGGGCATGAATGGAATTGTAAAAATTAAATGGGGACAATTTTGGTAGAAAAAAATTGAATAAGCGCTTATTGTTTAAGCACTTAAAAAAAGCTGAATATTTGGGCTTAAAAAGTAAGCCCTTATTTTTAAAATAAGCACTTATTTTGGGCTTATATCCCAAACACCAATAAGTGCTTAATGGTGTGGTCCTGGCCCAAATAGGCACTTATTTCGTTTAAGCACTCCCAAACATGGCCTAAGCTAATCATGATGTGTCACATCAGCCTGACATGTTGGACCTACATGTACAGAGATGACATTACTCACTATTGCTCTTGTATTATGATTATAATTGAAAATGAATTAAACTTGTTTTGTTCACTCTATTCCACTAATGATTACCTGACATGTTGGCATCAGCTTGGTAATAAACTGATTCCCACTATCTTAGATTGAATTGGATTCAACACTTAATGGATACCCAAATATTGAAATGAATTGGATTGGATTGGATCAAATCAAAGTTCAATCCATTACAGCACTACATCCAGTTGTATCATAAGAGAACTTGCATTTTATATTGGTATCATTATTTTTTTGATTGCAAATGGTACATTTTGTATTGATATCATTCTTCTCAATGATATCTTATGAACAGAGTTGTTGCATACCTATCTCGCGTACTTGAGGCTGCATTCACTGCATTAGAAGGTCTAAACAAACAAGCTTTCCTCACAGAACTGGTATAGCAATTTATTTCCCATTGTAGTCTTTCTTGACCTTTAGTGTTTGTGCGACTGCTGTTTATTGAACTCTCTCTTGGTTGTTGCTTTACCACATTCATGTATGCAAATGAGCACATGCATAATCGATATAGGTGTGTATACTATGAATATAGTAGAACAAGGATGCATGTGTGAATATGTTGTTCACTGGATGGATAATTTTAAATTTTACCTAATCAAAACTGTTTTCATGTTTGACTTCACAAGATTTAATTAACTGTTTTGGTAATTCAGCCATAATTTTGATTGACTTATTAATATAACCAATGAAATGGAACATTTATCAACAATTTGTTTTTGATGTGAACAGTTTTTTCCTTCTGAAGAAAATTAAGGTATAATTGTACTCTATATGCCAAAATCTTTGTACACCAGAGCCCATGTGCACTAAGGTTTTCAAATTTGAAAATGCCCTATTCATAATTTCAGTAACTCATGACCTACTTATTTGCCAAATGATGAAGCTTGAACATTGAGGTGATTATTCACCTGTAAAGAATTATCATATACCAATAATATTCCTGGATTTAAGTCAGTAACTCATGACCTACTTTTTTTTTATTTATTTATAATACACTATATCAGGAGGTTATGCTTTTTGTTATACTAAAGAATGAATATGGAGTTTAGTGCGGTCTAAATAGATATTCAAAATCAAAGTTGGAAGAGTGAGGGACATCCCTGAAATGCTGCCACACTTAGAGCCAAGATCTATGAGCACCTGTTGCTCTATTAAGAAATTAGTCTTAAGGAGATTCCTTCTTGTTTTTTTTTTTTTTTTGGGTATTAAGAAGATTTCTTGTCAAAAGTTCATTATTCTTTCCAGAAAAGTAGTCCATATTGCCAGCTAGAATAGCTCTTATGCATCCCATTATGTCTTCTGACATATTGCACTTGCTGTACTTTGGCCGATAGAACAACTCTTTCTTTTATCTCATAAAAATACCATATTTTTTTAATATCAAGGTTTAATTTAAATATTAAGTACTAATCTTATTGATATGTTAAAATATAAGAAAAATAAATAATAAATTAGGAATTTCATCTAAAAATAAATGTTTATGCATATATATCTTATTTTTTTGATCGTTAATGTTTCTGCCAACTTTCTTGTATACATATTAATTTTCTAGATATATCTTACTTATATGGCAACAATTGGAGTTCTGCTACTAATGATTATACCAACCACTAGTTTGTGTGAAAATTTGACACCTTAATTTTTAGAAGCATAATATACCTCATTTGTTATGGACCTCACATTTACTATCTAAATGCTAGTTTCAGATCATATGGTCAGTCCCAAGTATGTATTAATCCTGATTTAATGATTTTCCAAGTTTATTCATAGATTTTCATCAGTTACAGAAACTTAACTTATTACTCCATTATTTTTAAGTTCCTCATCCTTTCTTTTTAAATCCATCCCATTTGACAGATGTTCATATTGAAACTGAAGTCTAGAACCTTGATAACACTACTGTGCTCTGATCCTTTTATTCATTTTCAAAATACCTCTTTCATGAGATAAACTATGGATAATATTCACCATGGATCATATCCACTTAAAGTAACACCCTTCATTCATTTGCATCTGATCCTTATGACCTGGTTATGCTCCTAACCCGTGCTATATTGAAATATTATGTTTATTCTCTCTTTCTGTTTCTGCTGTAGGAACTCTGTTGTTTATTTTTGAAATTATAATGATTTGAATTTTATCATTTTAGGGAAACCGCTTACATAAAGGGCTGCTTAATCATTGGCAGAAGTATACTTTCAACCCCAGGTGGTACTCCTTTCTCTGACTTGTTCATTTTTGTCTAAAGTTACACAAGCAACATTAGTATGATAATACCAAATTCACCCAAAAAAAAAAGTACCAAATTCTGTTTGTAAGAGTAGCCTTTATATTACATTTTTCTTTGGAGGAAAAGTAAAGTATAGTTGTATTATATGTGTAAAGAGTAAAGCCTATTACAGTAAGTACGGTTAGAGACTGTACAGAGAGAGAATACACAGTATTTCAGAATTGGAAATAATAACAAATAGAGGGCTTCTGTTGAAATGTTAGTTCCTTGTGCCCACGAATGGATTTTGCTGACATATTCATATTATGAATCATTTCATCAGTTTGAGAGGATATATCTTAAAAAATTCTGCTATTCCTCTCCATCCAAATAGTCCAAAAGACAGTAACATGAAGCATGTACCACCAATTTGTCTTTACTAGATAACTGCTCCACATACCAGCTATTGAGAAAGTCAAGAACAGTATTAGGAAACAACTAACTCAGGTGCAAGTTACCAAGCAGATGACCCCAAATAGGCAGCCTTCGTATTACATTATGCAGTAAATTTTGCTTGTAAGTTAAATTTATAAAGTTAAAAGGATTTCAAGAAAAAAGTACAGGAGAAATTAACTACTGAAACAATGGATAGAAAAAAGTCTTCTTCATGGTTGCTTGTTGGTATTTTATTTTGCATGAAGTGCCAAGGTGTAAGGATGCTTGGTTGTGCTTGTATCAATCTTTTACCTCATTTTTCTTCTCCTGTGCCGGTTATGTTGAACTTTTGCTCTTCTTCCCTCTTGCTTTATGTCTTTGCTTATTCCAGCCCTTGATTCCAAGACTGAGCTTTTCTATATAGATCATCGAAACTTGAAGAAGCAAGGGACAGGATTTCAAGGGAAAGAACTACATAACTGACATAAAATACTAATAGCATTGTTTCCAAATGGAAAAAAGTATCTGTCCTTGTATCCTAGGACCTGTATGCAGGAACAGATAGAGTAAGAACCTGACCTTGTGGTTCCTGAGATCAAATGCACATATAAATACTGGTAGGTGAATGATGAATCAAATAATAGTGTGGAAATGTGAATGATACCTAGTATATACACTTGACTCTCTTTCCTATATGAAAGTAAAGCGTAGCAATTACCTACATTCCATGAAATTTTCCATCACAGGTAGGAGCTAATGTACAGATCTGCAGGCATGATCTAAATGATTTGCTAAGAAGAACTGAGGGCATACATTTCTACCAAGATAACTCGAATAAAAACTTGGTGAATCTTAGTAATGATCAAAGGCCAGTAGAAATTACTTATTCTATTACCCTGCCATAATCTCATCATATTTGCTCTCATGAACAGTTCATGATATATTCCATTGTTGTCAGACACTCAAGCCTAGTAAACTTACATCTTCCTTTTGTTATTTATAAAACCAAACATAGTTATACTAAATTATTCTCTTTCCAATTTCATTTCATATTACACCTTTTCCCCAGATTTTTGTGCCTTCTCTTCTGCCCTTTCTAGTGTTATTGTCCCTTCTGATGTACTAGACGCTTTAAGAGTGGAAAGAATAAATGGTTGGAGAGATGAGTGCTCTTTAGAATGGCATTTGGGAGGTGGTTGACATATGGCCAGGTTTGGTTTGGGACAGGGCGTATCAGTCCTAAACCGATTATTAATTGGGACAAAATCATAGACCCAGAACTGTCCCGATTATTAATCGGGATAATCGGGTCTGACCTGATTATACTGAGATCTATAATTATATATGCTAATAACAACTTAAAACTTCATTTTTGATAATATGACCTTAATAAAAATAATAATAAAATAGTAATTGTTTATATGCTAATAAATTAAGTGCATCTGCTAATTGGGTCAATTTCCTATTCCAAATTGGAGTCTAAAGGGGGGGAACATACGAGTTAGTAAGTTGAGTCTACAAACGTGGGCGAAAGACAAAATAGTTCCCATTGAAATTTGAAAGACCCCTAATGCCCTTCATATAAGCCAAAAATTTAGGTCATTTGACTCCTCCCCTAATTTGAGAAAGCAGATTTTCCGCTGGGAAGTTCTTCTCCATTCGACGGTGTGGCGCAAGCTTCTACATTTCAGATCTGATTCTTCTTCTTCTTTCCCACCAGCAGCAGTGTGTCTTCGATTCCTCTCTCTCTCTCTCCCTCCCTCCCTGTCTTCTAGCCACTGCCGTTGCAACTCTCAGTAGCAGCGACAGTTCTTTCCAATTTTACTCTTATTTTGATAAATTATATTTGTATTAATTATTAATGTAATCATTCATGGAGAGAGAGAGACGAGAGAGAGAAAGAGAAGAAGAGGAAGATATGATTGAGAGAAAAAGAAAACTACTTCTGGCTGCCRCCAGTTCATTATTTATATTAACTTAATATAAAAAGAATGGAGATTACAAGTATGCCCCTGGCGGCACTTCCTAGAAACAAACTAATAAGGAAGAAAGAAAATAACTAACTGACAGCATCTTAAGCTGACAACCCACTAATAGCAACTATAATATAACAATTAAATAATCCTCACAACAATTAATTATTAAATATTTTAATAGTTTTAATATATCAATTTGATAATTATTAATTTTTTTATTGCTTCATGGTCTTTATTACTATTTCCATTATTATTTTAACTCTTAATAATTTATTTTGTAATTTATAAATTGATATGTATTTTTCAATTTTATTCTTACTTTAATAAATTATTTTTTATTTTTTTATAATTTACTCATATTTTTCAATATTATTTTGAATTTAATAAATTATTTTTATGAAATAGTGCAAACTGAACTCAAAATTACCAAATAGTCTATTTTATGGGTAAAATAGTACAATCAATGATTTTCAGATGCTCAAGGTTTGATCCAGCACAAACAACCTTCTTTATTCAAAGCCTCTAAAAAGTTGAAAACATAGTTGTCAAGGCGACTAGGCGAGGCTAGGCGACCATGGGGTGCCTAGGCGATGGAAATTTGGAAAACTAAGGAGATGATGATGATGAGTGGAGAAAGGGAGGACTGAGGAGTATAGGGGCAGAGCCCCTGTTTTTTCGAGTGAAATTTGGAAAAGAGAAAGAAGAACAAGAGACTACAGAAAGAGAGGACTGGCGACTGTATTTTTGAAAAAAAATGGAAAAAATGTCTGAAATCTGAAGAAGAAGAAGAAGAAGAAGAAGAAGAAGAAGAAGAAGAAGAAGTGCTCAGTTCTACTTGTCTTAATATTAAAATGATTCCATGTAGCAGATTTATTTTAAAAGAATACAACAATCAATAAAATATCAAAACAGTAAATTAAAAAAAAAAATAGTTTTATATATGTATGTAGGTGCCCCCGCCTTGTATGTAAACGCCCGCTTAAGTCTCTGGGCAGACGCCTAGTATGCAAAACCTGGGGCGTTTGGGCGAGGCGACCATGAAAAACTGCCTAGTCGCCTAGGTGACATATAGGCGCCCGCCTAGGCGTTGCCTTGACAACTAGACTTGAAAATCAACTTTCTTTTCAGATTTCAGATTTATCAAACACCACCTTAAACAAGGACTTCAGCTCCTAAACAACTCTAATAATACTTTCCTAATCCAACTAAATAGTAATTACTAAAAATAGCAAACTGTGAGTTTACTAAAAATAGTAATTACGGGAATTACTATCAATAGTAAGTCCGAGAGTTACCGGAAATAGTAATTTCAAAACAGCAATAAAAATTTTAAAAAATAGAACCCTATTCTTAAGATACCCACAACTAGAAAATAAAAAACAGAAACAGTACGAGACCCTATAATCCAAAAATTCTGAAATTGGTCTAGGAATTGAAAAATCAGTTTGTTTCCCCATGAATTCTTTCCTTGTGTCAAGTTTCTGCATCGACTATATAGCATAATAGCATAAACACCTCTAAAATATGTAAAATATTATATTTGGAGAAATTATTCTATAAAAAATATGCATACACTAGAAATTTAATTAAAATTGGAACGAAACATGTCTTGAGAAATGACATTTAGCTTAAAAAACTGATTTTTTTTAGGAGAGTTAACTGATTGTATTAATAAAAGGAAAGGTACATGAGAGGATGTACAAACCATCAGCTGTAGTATTTAGTTAGCTGGGAATCCAGATTAGATTTACATCCAAGGTGTTGAAAATGTATCTAGCCTCGGACAGTTAATGAGATAGTCTCCAAGGGCCTCCCTCCTCCCCTAACCATCTTATTGTGTTTGCAGAGTCTCAGTCTCTTTTTATAGAACAGACCAGCTCTTTTCTTTAGCAATTTGAAGACCTTTAAGTGCAGCCATGGCTTCTACTTTTGAAGAATCAGCAGCCCCAATTGGGCCACTAAAAGCCCACTTAATGCTTTCGCCCCTTCCTCTAAAAACTCCACCAATCCCCGTAACTCCGGGGTTGCCCAAAGCACTGCCATCGGAATTTAGAGTCAGCTCTGATACCAAATTGACAGGAACAGCAATTGACATGCAAGAATGTCTAGGTTAAGAGAAGGATTTCCCCAAATTTCTTTTCAATTCATTCAGAGGTAAGCCTTTGAACTCTGCGGAAACAGAAGCCCACAGATTGCCCAAGAAAATAATGTGGGAAAGCAAATCTTCAAAGGATCTAGTTCTCTTTTCAAAGAGACGATTGTTTCTTTCTTCCCAAACACACCATATCACTACTTGGATAATTGTGCACCAATAAATTTCCCCCTTACTTCCAAGATCATTACCCCTCCACTGCTGGATGAAGTCAATTATGTTTTCAGGAAAAACCCAGCTGTACCCTACAAGATTAAGGGCCTGTTCGTTTGCTCTGGCGTCTGAGGTCTGAAAGTGCAATAATTACATTAAGAGGTATATTGGTATTGGTGAACTTTTCTTTCCTCTAAACTCTGAATGTAGAGAATGTTGTTCTGAATTCTGAATTTTGAAAATCGTTAAATATCTATTTTAACCCCATATATGAGAATTTTTGTTTGCGTTTTGGGGGTTATCATTGGAAAACAAAAACTTGTAAGATTCCTCCTTAAGAGATAAGAGATGAGAGGAAACAAACACCCATTTTCCTCTTAAAATTGTAAGATTCCTTTTAAGAGATAAGAGTTAAGAGGAAACGAACAGTCCCTAAAGAAGTAGAATCATATCTTCCTTGTTTCTGGGCAGTGAAGGAGGTGATCAGTGGATTCGCTTTCCTTCAGACATAATGGGCAAGCATGGGGGTAGATAAACAATCTGCCCTTGTTCTTCTTCTGAACCAAGTCGCATGTGTTGATTTTGTTGAGGCACGCCTCCCACACAAAGAAAGAGACTCTAGGGGGAATATTGGAGCACCAGACCCTCTTGTGAGGAAAACTAGAGTTGGAGATTCCAAAAAACCAAGGCTCCGAAAGACTTGGTTGAGAAATTGCCATCAGGTTGAAGCTTCCAAATGCGTTGGTCTGAGGTTGCTAAGGAAATGTAAACCTCACTTAGAGAACTTAAGGGATTTGCAATCTCATCAATCTCTATACTTCTTAAAGGTCTTCTGAAATTTAGATTCCAGTTAATTCCAGAGGCAAGAATTGGATACAGGAAGCAACAGTAGCATCTTTGGAAAGAGATGGCTTGAAAAGGCGAGGAGAAGTGTTGGCCAAGGTGTCTGACCCCCACCAAAGGTCAGTCCAAATTTTGATTTTAAGCCCATTACCCACTTTATATCTGGTGAAAGAAATGAAAGAGGAGAAAGTTGAAGAAATACCTTTCCAACGGTTTGAAGCTTTTACCCAATTCAAATGCACCTTACTACCCGATTAAAGAACCAGATATTGCATGACATATGGATATCACGTGGGGTACTTGTACCCTTACTGTGTCCATGATTTTAGGAAATAGAGTCGTATCCCCATTTCCCATATCTGTCCCTATCTAGGAATCATAGCAGATGATTAATTAGCCAGTGTGCTGACCAAGGCGGTTAAGAAGTCATGACTTTTCATATTCTTGCCAAGCTTGGTATGCATGATATCTATATACCAATTTGATCTATATGTATTAGAAGTATAGTAATAATTTGCTTCTGGCATACATTATTAATAAAGGTATTGTGGTCATTGTACTCTTCTCAAATTAATAAGGATCATGGACAGACCAACTTCTAATCTATTCTCTGTCTCTCAGAATCTTCTTGTAAGAGCATAGACATGTGAACTGACAGACCTGAATTAAATCGAACCATGTCAGCCTAGTCCAACGACCAACCTGGGTTACCGAAGCAGTAATTCAGAACTAATTATAGGAGTAATGTAAGAATAAACTAGTCTGACAGATAAGTCACCTTGGCTGACATGGCATAGAAGATTCCAAAAACCTTTTTTCACTTGAGAAAAGAGGATCCAAATTTAAGGGGGGATCTGAATATTCTCTCTCGATTTTCTTCCCCTCTCTGACTCGAATCCTCTCTCTCTCTTCTCTCTCTGAAAACTGATCCTTTGCCAAGGGAACTATGGTGGCTTGATACCTCTCTCAAGGGTATGTAGCGCAGCCCCTCCAGGGATCTGGTCATCCTCTACCTCCTCCATTGATTCCCCCCTTCTCTTCTGATAAACCCTGCTGCTGTGTGAAGGTTAGTGAGCTGTTTCGAGGGAGCTCGCCCTCCTGAAATGGATGAGAGGTAGGAGACGAGAGAGAGAGAGAGAGAGAAAAGAGAGAGGAAGAAAGTAAGGAATATCTCAATGATTCTTCGCTTCATGTATTTCAGAAAATGGCCTATATAGCAAATGGCCAGCTGCCCTCTAACCGACTTTGACACTCTCAGTGCATGCTCTCAGTATATAATCAATTTAACAAACGTGGTCGTTGGTTATACACAAGGGTGATGGGCGGTGTCGCTTGCATGATCCTTGGACTGTTATGGACAGGCCCCTGGGCCTGATGGGCCTGGTCTGCACCGTGTGGCTCTTCTCCTCCACTGGGCCTAACATCTTCACTGCCATCTCTCATATCTTTGGGGATCAGACCATCATCACTATGTCCATGGGCAAACACTTCTTTCTCTCTTCTCTTTCTTATCTACTACAGCATCAGATTGATTGCAATTACGGAGAATCCAACTGTAGTGGTATGATATGTAAGATATTTTTGAAACAGGTTTATGACTTGGTGGTTTGTATCTTGCCTTCTAAAATCTTTGCATGAGTTTGAAACTTCCTATTGTCATTTTGATAATAAAGATTAGCAGTTGACTTGGGTGATTTGCTGAAAATTGCACAATTTGTTAGGAATATAGTCCAATTTTCTATGAACTGTCTGGATTAATAGCATGGTCCAACCATTCAAACTGATCCAGGTCTGACGGCATTGGTATATTGAGTAGTGTTTTCCTATACTTTAAAAAAAGGACTAAACCAAACAATCTGACCACTTTTTTTTGGTTCCCACTGTCATCCTTTTCCTATTATGATACTAGCAATCAGGAGTAATTCTTTGTTTCTCATATTTTTTAAGTGCAGGTGTTTTTTTTAAAAACTTTCTTCCTTGTATATATGGTAACAACCATAGGTGCAACATCTCTCATGTTCTATATGATTTACTTGCCTACATTATCCTTACAGTGGTGGTCTGCGTCTGAAGCGTGATATAACAGAGTATGGGGAGTTTGTGCGCAGCTTTAATGCTCCCACAGTCGATGAGAAATTTGAATTGTTGGGCATGTAAGTAGAAGAATTCCTGTCAGAACTTGTTTCTGTTTCTAATCTTAATCTCTGATCTTATCCCTCCACTTCAATCCCAAAGAGAAAGCAAAATCAAATATCTAGTTTGTGGAATCTCAACTTGGAAACATTTCTTTTAATGTTTTCAGCATGGCGAATGTCTTTATTGTTGCACCTGAGAGCCTTTCCACATTGTTCGAGGGAACCCCAAGCATCCGGAAAGATGCGCAAAGGTATAAATTACTCTTTCAATAGCTATTTATTGCCTTTTTTTTTCATCCTCTGCTGGGCAGGTTTTTATGTGCAATAATTAACTGTTAATGGCTTTGCTGTTATTCCAGATTCATTCAGCTTAGGGAGGATTATAAGACTGCAAAACTTGCATCTAGACTTAGTTCATTGTGGCCAAGTTCTAGTTAATTTGCAATTCGTTTGGGCGATTAGTTAGAACAAGAGCAAATGCAAGCTGAATCAGGTACATGAGACCAATAAATTTTTTGAGGTGTCTTCAAAAGTATTACAGTACTTAAGCAATTGTAGAGATTCATTGGTTGCTTTCAAGCAATAAACGGATTCTGGTAGTGGCAGGACCGTGCTGAGGAGTCGCTTGCAAATGGGCCATCTCGCGTGGATGATCTTATACATTTTCTGGTTGTTTATCGATGTTTGTATCTTGATTAGTTTTGATGGAAAGACCAAAAGATGTGTACCTTATTGGGTCTGACGTGTATGCCGTTTGGTGCGATTTTATTGCTTATACCACAGACTGACAGATCAAAGGATGAATGATCATGTATCTATTCTGTAATAAACTGTTACTGGACAAACATCTAGCAGTTCTATATCTTTATTTAATGTGAAAGTTGGAGGCTTCGTGTGTGTGTATATAACAGAGCTGAGCTGTATCACACAACGTGTATATGACTATATGAGATCTTTGCTTCTAGATAAGAGAGAGAGAGATTTGTTTCTTGGATTTCTCCTCGATTTTTCAGCCTCAGGGGAATCGTAATAACTATTTCAGACCGTTCAACATACAAGCGATATTTATCTTTGATCAGATGCTTCTGTTCACGAGCAATGCCCTTTCTCTTTTTTTTCTTATAGTTAATCAATGTTTGAAATTGCATGTTTTACGCAAAACGGAGTTGCAAGGGAAAGGTTTTAACCAGGTGGCAATGGTTTATTGGGTAGTTATGGGCAGCACATCTTCTAATAAGTGTTGCTAGGTTGTTAAATCATCAAGGCCACGTGGAATTTAGATGGAAGGGTTTTAGATTTTATAAAAAACTACAAAGGTTGAAGGGTAGGATCAAAGAGTGGAACAAGGAAGTTTTTGGATCTTTGGAGGAAAGAAAGACACTCATCTCACATAGAATATAGGAATTAGATGAGTTGGAAGGGGAAAGGACAATAAGAGAGGAAGAGAAATCTGAGAGGTGGAGACTAAAGCATGAATTGGAAGAGATTTTGAGGAAAGAGGAGATTAATTGGAGGCAGAAGTCTAGATGTAGGTGGCTAAAGGAAGGTGATGGAAATATAAGTTTTTTCCACTTAGTACCAAATGGGAGAAATAGAAGAAATTCTATTGTTCAGCTAGTGTGGAATGGGCAAACCCTAACTAGGGAGGAGGATATAGTGCAGGCTTTTGTGGATCACTTCAAAGGTATTTTCAATAGTCAGGGAGGCTTCGGGGAGCCCCTAGAAAATTTTGATTGAAGAAGAGGTCTTAAGGTATTGATGGAATCCCTAGATAAGGCTTTTGAAGTCCAATAAATAAAAGAAGTTATATTCTTTATGGAAAGATCCAAAGCCCCAAGCTCGGATGGTTTTACAATGGTTTTTTTTCAAGATTGTTGGGAAATTGTGGGTGTTGACTTAGTGGAAGTTTTTTTGGAATTCTATGAGAGGGAAAAATTTAACTCAGGGGCAAATGTCACTTTTATCACTTTGATCCCTAAAACCCTAGATGCCTCCCACCCAAAAGATTTTAGACCCATAAACCTTGTGGGTAGCATGTATAAAATTATTTCCAAGGTGTTAGTTGAGAGGATTAAAAAAGTGCTTCCATCTTTAATCTCTCCAAATTAAGGGGCTTTTGTGTTTTGAAGACAAATCATAGACAAATCCTTATTTTAAATGAATGTGGAGTTTAAAAAACGGAGAAAGGAAAAATGGCTAATTTGCAAATTGGACTTGGAGAAAGCCTATGATTTGGTGGATTGAAAATTCTTTCTAGAAGTGTTAAGGTTGAGAGGTTTTGGAGAGAGATGGTGCAAATGGATAAGGGGTTGTATTTCCTCCTGTTATTATTCCATTTTGGTTAATGGAGTTGCCAGAGATTTCTTTCCAGCCAAAAGGGGCCTTCGACAAGTTGATCCCTTGTCCCCCTTCCTCTTCACCCTAATAGCAGATTTATTTAGTGATTTGATCTCAAGGGTTGATACCAACAATTTGATACGAGGTTGGAGAGTTGGAAGAAATAATGTGGTGATTACCCATTTACAATTTGCAGATGATATCCTAAGTTTTTGCAAAGGAGAAAGGGAGGAATTGACAAATTTACAAAGGGTGGTATCCCTATTTGAAAAGGTCTCTAACCTCAAAGTAAACTGGAGCAAAAGTTGTGTAGTAGGGTTAAGTCAGGAGAGAGGAGAGGTTGAAAGATTAACTAGCTTGTTGTGTTGTGAAGTAGGTGAATGGCCTCTACAGTACCTTGGTCTACCTTTGGGAGGGAACCCGACTTCTGTTAGCTTTTGGGATCCGGTAGTGGAAAGATTCACAAAAAGGTTTGCTGGTTGGAAGAGAAACTACATTTCTCTAGGAGGTAGAATAACCCTAATAAAGTCAACATTGACTAATTTGCCAGTCCATTACCTCTCAAACTTTAGGATCCCCTTAAAAGTGGCCAATAAACTGGAGAAACTGATGAGAGACTTCTTGTGGGAGCCAGGGGATACAAAAAAGGATCATTTGGTAAAATGGGAGGTGGTTTCAAGGAGTAGGGATAATGGAAACCTAGGGATAGGAAACATTAAACTAAGGAATTTGGCACTGCTGGGTAAATGGTTGTAGAGGTTTCCCTTGGAACAAGACAACTTATGGCATAAGGTCATTGTAAGCATCCATGGCATGGCAGACAACGGATGGGATGTTGGCCTTGATCCTAGGGCAACAAGGGCTTCTCCTTGGAAAGGAATTCACAATTTGCTACCGTCTTTGCTTCAGCTGGTTAGGTTATGGTAACAAAGTTCGGTTCTGGGAGGATATCTGGCTTGGGGACATTCCTCTCAAAGACAGATTTCCACCTGCTTTTTCTTTGTCTCTCAATAAAGGGAAAGTGATTTCTTCATTGCTTGTTAATGAAAACTCTTGGGATCTAGGATTAAGGAGAGGCTTAAGGGAACATGAAATGGGCTTAGTAGATGAACTGATTTCCCTTCTCAACATTGCATTCCTGGACCCCTCTTGCTAGGACAGTAGAATTTGGTCAGAGTCCCCTTCTGGATCCTATACCTGTGCCTCTTTTTTCTCTGCCCTTCTTCATTCCTTGCACCCGGGAGGCTCCTTTCCTACAAAGGAAGTCTAGTGTAGTCCTGTACCCCCAAAAATAAGAGCCTTTTGTTTGGAGCTGAAGGGATGGGAGATCCATCATATGGATGGCCGAACCCTGTAGGAAGGCTGGGCAAATTTTCAAAAATTTCTTTACTCCCATCCGGGAATCGTATTCCCAATTTAGAAAACTGTATTTTCAATGTTCATTCTTGTAACCAAACCGGACCAAATCTAAAATCAAGATTAGGAAGGGATATACCTGATAACGAATCCACGCAAAAAGTTCCTCCCAACGCAGGTGTTCACGCTCAAAGAGTGTACCAAATCCTCCCTCCACTGAAGATGACACAACTTAGGATGAGGCAGGATCAACAGGTAGTTCTTCACCAAGAACCTCTGATTCTTTAGCAAGATTTGAATGGGGTAGTGAGCACAACTTTAGAATTGTTTCTTCTAGTAAGAAACAATATCAAGATCAAATCTTGATCAGTTCCAAAAATTGGAGATCGAATAGGGTAGGGCAGCAAGAGCAGGGAGAAAAAGAACTGAAGGCAGAAATAGCCTTAAAGTGACAACCTCCTAATTTGATTACGAGTCTCCTGATCCAAATCTTTATTTGGATCTGGACTCTTTAAGTGATATGGATAATCCTTTATCCTATCTGTAGATCAAGATCAACTTTTCCTAATCAAATTAGGAATTCCCTAATCCAAATCTCTATTTGGATCTGGACTCTTCAAGTGGATAAGAATTATCTTCTTATCCTTATCTGTTGATCCAAACCTAGATTTTCCCTTTTTTAATTAATTCAATTAACCCAGTTCGAAATGGGCTTTAGGCCCACTAAGCTTTCAGGCTCACTTCCTTCTAATGCTGGCTAGCTTGGCTCTCTTTGTATGGCGTGGGACCCTATCATTGATCTACACATCAGCCACATGGGTTCAGCCTAGCCTCTGTTATAAGGCCTAGCCGAATTCACTATTGAATACAGTGAACCCTTGAGTCCATCACTATGGGCTCTTAATGGGCCCAACATTTACACTAAATGGTCATTGGGTCCATCCGTCTTACGAAGGCCCAAGGACTGTGGGCAGATGCAAGATTAGCCCATTAGGTATAATCCTCAATGGTCTTACACTTAACCTCTCAGCCCTTAATGATCAAACACTGCCCGACAAGAGAGGACCTCTCTCTCGGCTGCAAGGTACAGTGCTGCACTCTCTACTCACATGGATCCCGGGAATTAAAACCTTTTGCAAACAATTTGAAACCATAATATATAAGTATATCTCTATATAAATATATTTTGCAAAACCAAATTTCAAACACATTTGAAATCCACTACCGATAGTTTAGGTTTCGATAAGAGAGAATGCACTTCCCCAGTCATTCACTTTGTCTGACAAAGGGGCTGATCCTATCACTATGATCACCCACTAGGTGAATTCTCGGACTGTCCCAACATACCCAGGTTTTGACCCCCATTTGAGGATCTCATTGATTGGCACATCAAAGACAGCCCAATCCGACACTTAGTGCAGTATCATAGTCGAGTCTAGGGGTCAGGTGTAACATTCCAGTTTTGCCCATCTGTCTCCAAGGTCCAGGGCAATACTGGAATTTGGTCTGATTCAGGGTTTCAAGAAAAACCCACACTACATGTGCCTCAGGTCTCACCCTGTTAACTGAGACAAGCCACCCCAACCAACTTGGTGGCACATCAGTGTTGGCCTTGGCAGGATAAATCTCCCCAGATCTATCCAACGACTGTGAAGATTCTAAACTAACACGAGTCTCATATGTGTCCAATTTAAGGGTATTACGCAAAAACACACCACAATAACATGAATCAAATATGTATTTTGTTCATTTATAATAATGTCATAATGTACATCATGTTGATTGGAGCTAAGGACATACTGTCTAACAGGTGGTACTCCAGAAAATCAATACTCTAGATAATTTACAATAAAGAAGGCCAAATCATTGCTTCACCCCTCATGTTGGTTGCCTTTGTTTGGGAATGGTGAGACAGTTACACATCTGTTACTTTCTTATCCTTTTGCTTCTTGTGTGTGAAATTGGTTCTCTTCCTTATTTAGTTGCAAGTGGACCTCTCCTCTAGATGTGACAAGTCTTTTCAACCCAAGCTTCTTCCTCCTATCAAAGAAAAGGGGGAGAGTGATGTGGAGGGCAACAAGAGTATCCATTCTCTGTTCTTTGTGGGAAGAAAGGAATAATATAATATTCCAAGGGGCACAAAGATCAACAAAACAAATTATTGACTGCATAGCCATTAAAGTCATACACTGGCTGAAAGTAAGTGACTTATTTAAA